AGAAAACGGCCCACTACACGAAAGCTAAGATTAACTACTTAGAGCTCACACACACAAAGAAGCTATTTTTAAATTGATCTATTGATGTTTGCAAGAAAGAATCATAGGACAGAATTGTTTCCATTCAGAGTATTTTATCAAAGCAAAGCTGGATATAAAAGAGTCATGGATTTATATCTAAAATATTAAATATGTGAACTAACATTTATTAAAATTTACTTTCAGATTTAAGAGCATTTAAATCATCCTTAATACAGACATACTTCACACATACCAGGCATAACTTACTCGTTCAAATTTGTTTACACAGCTGTAAAATCTCCAAATTAACTATCAACCAGGAAAAGTAAAAAATATTGCTATGAAAATGAGGAGATAAGATTAAAGCTGCTAGAAAAAAAATTACAGAGAGCTTCCTGTGGCATGGCTTTGGATGGGAGCAAGTTCGTTGTCAATTTTTTTTTTTTTTTTTTTTGAGACGGAGTCTCGCTCTGTCGCCCAGGCTGGAGTGCAGTGGCCGGATCTCAGCTCACTGCAAGCTCCGCCCCCCAGGTTCACGCCATTCTCCTGCCTCAGCCTCCGGAGTAGCTGGGACTACAGGCGCCCGCCACCTCGCCCGGCTAGTTTTTTGTATTTTTTAGTAGAGACGGGGTTTCACCGTGTTAGCCAGGATGGTCTCGATCTCCTGACCTCGTGATCCGCCCGTCTCGGCCTCCCAAAGTGCTGGGATTACAGGCGTGAGCCACCGCGCCCGGCCCGTTGTCAATTTTTTAAAAGTAATTCTGTTTCAACATCTCCCTATGCACAGTTTCACTAATTCAGAGAATGTATTGACTAATGCATCTATTTTTGCCACCATTTTTTTGGAACTTCAAAATGCCAAAATGAGAAATAATTCTGTACAAACCATACATGAACACATGAGTATAAACACATGTAAAAGCAGACTTAATATTGTAACCTCCAGACTATTTAAACTCAATTTTAAAGCCTCATTTTTTCTCATGGGAAATATTCACTGTAATCCTAATTACCTGGGTTGTAGTGAATCCGTTATTATTTAAATTTGTATTTAGATTTAATAATATCAACATGCTTACAATCTCATAACTTTTTGTTTGTTTGTTTCTAGACCAAAAATGAACTGAAAATCTTGAGTTCAACAGAAGTATTTTATGAACAATAGTAGCCATGAAGATATACATACTAACATTTTGGCTTTTCATCTTTTAAAATTTTACTATAAAAGGCAGAAAAGAAAATGTAGTGATCTTTGCACTTTTCATATGGTAAGGCACAAATTATTATTGATTTAAGCTGCATATTACTGGCGGTCAGTTGTGAATATATAAATGCTGCTAAGAACACAGAAGGCAATTCAGTCAAGAGCAACTATGTCAACTTTTACTTCAGATCAAATTTGATGTATTGAGCAGTGAAAGTGAGGTCATAACTGGTATTTTTTTTCAACTTTTATTTTAGGTTCAGAGGGGAGACATGTGCAGGATTGTTACATGGGTAAATTGCACCTTGTTGAGGTTGGGTATACAAACGATTTCATCACCCAGATAGTGAGCATAGAACCCAATAGGTAGTTTTTTGACCTTCACCCTCTTCCCGCCCTTCCTGCTCAAGTAGGCCCCAGTGTCTTTTGTTCTCCTCTTTGTGTCCATGTGTATTCAGTATTTGGCTCCCACTTATACGTGAGACCATGTGGTGTTTGGTTCTGTTCCTGCATTAACCTGCTTAAGATAATGGCCTTCAGCTGCCTCCATGTTTCTGTAAAGGACATGATTTTGGTTTCTTATGGCTGCATGGTATTCGTGGTATACAGGGACCATATTTTCTTTATCCAGTCCACCGTTGATGAGCATCTAGGTTGATTTCATGTCTTTGCTATAGTGAATAGTGCTGCTATGAACCCACAGGTGCACGTGATTTTTTGGTGAGATGACAATAAGTATTTTTAAACCTGCACTTGTTCAAGTAACACATTTAAGGTTTTATACTAAAACCTTTATCACAATCTGAAAAAAAATTTAGCTTCATATTCAGTCAAACAAAATTGCCTAGGTTCACAGAACTATTTCAAGTTTAATAATTTGCTGCAGTTCTACTACTAACTGAAAAATATTCTTTTGTTTCTTTATGTTTTATAGTTTTATTATAAAAATTATAATATTGAAATAAATGTTTAAAAGGAAAGTAGTTACATAACTTTCGATCCGTAAATATCCTCAATATTACATATTATCATGGAGATTGGGGCAAATGTATACATATCTGCACATAGCAACTCTCATGCTAAATACAAACATTTATAAAGCATTTATTTTCTCCCTTCCAAGTACTAACCAGGCCCGATCTTGCTTAGTTCCCGAGATCACATGAGATCGGGCATGTTCAGGGTGGTATGGCCATAGACTATAAAATATTTATTTTCTTATAGTTAATCGAAAATTCTTATGAGGGTCTCTTACTTTTCACATAGGAAAAAGAGATTTTATCAAGAGTCCTATTTTGTGCAATGCTCTATGGAAGGTATGCATGCGTAAGTATTACTCCTATTTCACAGATAAGGAAACTATGGCTCAGACATGTCCAATGAATAAATAAAACTAGAACCCAAGCAAAATGCACTTAATGTCAAAGCCTTTGACCTATAGGCTAATGCTTTAGGGTTATCTTACATTTGAGTCTTACAATTGCAAATCTATTTGGGAATCTTTGCTTCTGTTTTAAAAAAGCAAAGACTTACAAACAAAGCAAAACCAGAAAACTGCACAATGGCCTTAATAGAGTTGGTTAATCTTTATTACTCTGGAGGATTCAAGGATTCTTAACACTGAGGCATTGGGCTCTCCATCCTCAAAAACAAGCAATACGGGTTTCAGGAACCTCGTAATGTGAAGGTAATGCTTTCAAATGTCTGGGCACCACAGCTTATTTCCCTCTGTTCATTGCTTTACAGTAAACCTTCTATACAAATTGTCCTCTTATTGGCATTATATTTTCTCATCAGTAGCTGATGTAGAGGCCAGTTACATCACGATGGAAATGAGAGCAGAAGAAAAATTGGTGTCCTAACATTAAGCTTGACACAAAGCATTTTCATAAACAGTCTCCTCATTCCTGGGCTACCCATAATGAACCAAAATGAGACAGCATTAAACTTGCAAAGTTGTCTGTATCAGCTTCATGATTGGTCATTTACTAGCCAATCTTGTACAAATTACTTAGAGTCTTCAACCATCCAATCAAGGAGAAAATTAAAAGAAATTCATGGTTACCAAACTTTGCTGCGCATTAGAATCACCTGGGGTGCTTTTTAAAAATTCCAGTGCCCAGGTTTCACCCTATGGGATTAAATCAGAATGTTAAGGCATGGGATCCAGGTCTCGGTATTATTTTATTTTATTCTTATTTTTGAGAAAGGGTCTCACTTTGTCTCCCAGGCTGGAGTGCAGTGTTGTGATCTCGGCTCACTGCCACTTCAACCTCCTGGACTCAAGTGAACCTGACGTCTCAGCTTCCCAAATAGCTGGGACTACAGGAACCCACCACCATTCCCTGCTAGTTTTTTTGTGTTTTTCTTACAGATGGTGTTTCATCATGTTGCCTAGGCTGATCTTGAACTCCCGAGCTCAAGCAATCTGCCTGCCTTGACCCCCACAAACTGCTGAGATTACAGTCATGAACCATCACATCCAGCCCAGCTCTCAGCATTTTTCTTAAAGATGCTCAGGTAATTCCAATGTGCAGCAAAGTTTGGGAGCCACTTAATTAATTAATACCTTCACAGAGCTGCTTTTAAGATTTAAAAAAATAGAGGAAGGTTTTGTATATTATACAATACAGAGTAATAGAAAATATCTAAAAAATAAATTCAGTGGCAATACACACATATACACACACACACACACAAACACACACACCCCTTTTATTTTTTCTGTCAGAGTTGCACAAAAGCCTTAACAGTTGCTTTCTGTAGTAAGTTGTCTTGAACATTTTTATTTTTATTTTTTTATTTTTATTTTTTTTAGATAGAGTCTTATTCTGTCACTCAGGCTGGAGTGCAATGGTGTGATCTCTACTCACCACAACCTCTACTTCCTGGGTTCAAGCAATTCTCCTGCCTCAGCCTCCTGCGTCGCTGGGATTATAGACATGTGTCATGGTGCTGGGCTAAATTATTTTAATTTATTTTTTATGTATTTATTTATTTATTTTAGTAGAGATGGGTTTTGGCCAGGTTTGCCAGACTGGTCTCAAACTCCTGATCTCACGTAATCTGCCCACCTCAGCCTCCCAAAGCAAAGTACTGGGATTACATGCATGAGCCACCATGCCTAGTCAACATTATTTTAATATTTTTTATATCTCTTTTCATTCTCTATTAAAAATTAAGTACAATCTCTCTTGTTTTCTTCAAAAAAGTCAAACACCATACTTTCATCAAGTGTTTATAATCACTAGAAAAGAATATTAGAATTAATGTGGAGAAAAGAAATCTGAGTAGTTAGAAATAAAATATATAATTTGTCCAAATTTACTTAGTTCAATGGTACTATTATTTAGAATAAACAAAAAATTACAGTCCAGAAATTTTGATCTAGTATTCTGCCATAATATTTTTGAAAACAAAGATCTATTCAGTAAATCTTTCTTGGCTAGATTTGTGCATTGCCTAATGACACAATTATTTCTCTGCTAAGATTTTGGTCAATACTTTAGATTCATTGAGTTTATATACAACACTCTTTTAATACCATCATTTTTCATAAGCTTTTATTTAATTAGATTCACCAAAAGGATTATGCAATTTATGTAATTAGAGTGCAAATAACACATTACCTAATTAAAAAGAACCCTCTGTACTTTGTTGTTAGTATAGACCTTGATGCATCTGTTCACAATAAATTTTTAATTACATTCAATTTATAAGCAATTATAAATGTAATCTACCACCTAAGAGTGATTTTTGCATTGGGATCTTTTACCTTTGTGGGCTTGTTAACATCCATGCTCTCCTTGAATTTCTCCTGCACAGTTTCTGCAAGTTGACAGAGCAAGGCACCATTGTCCAACTTCTCCATAAAAGTTTCTGCTGTAATCTCCTTCCCTGAAATGACAAAAAGAAGCATTATAAAAAGAAAATCAAAATGTCAGATTCACACTAAATAAAATATTTGACACAATCTTATTACTAAAATTGCTATTCTAGCTGAGTTACGTATCTGGGATAGGAGCTTACCAGAAATAGTCATTTCTTTGGAATTTTCTATCTTCCGTTGGTTGCAAGAATTTCAGCATTTAATATTTTCATAACATAGTGCTAACTGCATAAAAGTTTTATTTCATATTAAAGGTGGCAAAATGATATCCTGGGTAAAAGAATTCCATCATTTAGTAATCAGGGGGAATGAAAACTAATCAACAAAACTCAAAGAACCAGCTTTACCAGTGATTTCACAATTTGGCCTCCATTAATCATTCCATTCTCATCCTCAATGGCCCATTAAATTACTTTGACCCATAAGGCAGGACATAATGCAGAACAAGTATTTTTTGTTAGGTGTATGTCTGACTACAAGAACAACGTAGGTCTCTCTCTCTCTCAACAGGATTGTACTCTATCACCCAATCTGGAGTGCAGTGGCAGGATCATAGCTCACTGCAGTTTCAGACTCTGGGGGCTCAAACAATCCTCCAGCCTCAGCCTCCAAAAGTACTGGGATTACAGTCATGTAATCTGGGGTGCACCCAGCCAGATCAATTTTCTTTAATTTAAAATAGAGCCATGTATATATTTTTAAAAACCACCACTGGGAACTTTAATAACATGGCCAATATATAAAACCATATCTCTAGATTCTATTGAAATGGTTTTCCTGATTAAAATAACACAGGTAGGCTGGGCACAGTAGCTCAGGCCTGTAATCCCAGAATTTTGGAAGGCCGAGGTAGGTGGATCACTTGAGCTCATGAGTTACAGACCAGCCATGGGGCAACATGGTGAAACCCCATTTCTACAAAAACACAAAAATTAGCCAGTCATGGTGGTGCATGCCTGCAGTCCCAGCTACTTGGGAGGCTGAGGTGGGAGGATGGCTTGGGTCTGGGAGGCAGAGGCTGCAGTGAGCTGAGATCCTGCTACTGCACTACTTTCTTATATACTCTTTCAAATCATATCTTTCTCAAAGCCCTCTCCTTTTTTTGTTTCCTATTAATCTAAATTTCAGAATATTCCGTTTTCCTGCCTTATGTTTCTGTAAATTATTAGTCAGAAGTCCTACAGATTCAAGCTTCCTTCTATTTCTCACGCCATAACCTTAATAAAAATCTTCATAATGTGATACTTAAACCTCTAGCAACAAGAACAATGGCTATTCTTTCTGTCCTCAGCTTCTCTCTCCAATACATACCATGCTCACTGCTAAAATTAAGATTGCTAAACACCGTCCTCACTGAGGCATTCTCCAGACACCTTTATTGCACAATCCCTAATTTTCTCCTTTACCTGGAATATGAAAACTACTTACATTATTTATAATATTTACTTTCTGTAATTTTGTGAAATAATTTTCTTATTATTTGAAAATGCGGCCTGGCATGGTGGCTCATGCCTGTAATCCCAGCACTTTGGGAGGCCAAGGTGGGCAGATCACCTGAGATCAGGAGTTCAAGACCAACCTGGCTAACTAGGTGAAACCCTGCCTCTACTAAAAGTACAAAAATTAGCCAGGTATGGTGGCGCACGCCTGTAATCCCAGCTACTTGGGAGGATGAGGCAGGAGAATGGCTTGAATCTGGGAGGCGGAAGTTGCAGTGAGCAGAGATCACACCACTGCACCCCAGCCTGGGCGATAGAGTAAGACTCTGTCTCATGAATAAATAAATAAATAAAATCCGGCTGGAACAACAGATGAACCATTTACCATTTAAGTTAAACTCACAATATCTAATATATTTGAATTTCAAGAAACATCTGCTTAAAATGAATTTTTTTTTTCCATTTTGGGGGGCAGTCTTAGGGACAAAGAATTACTTTTTAAACAAATGTCCTTTTTCCCCTACTGGGTAGTTCATATTTTGGCCCCCAATTAGAATAATGACTTCTGCAGGTGGAAAAACATCAGTAGCTTTAAATATTCACCACACAGGTAGCCTGTGCAGAACTTTCATTTCAAAACTGTGTGCAGCTCCGTTCAGAAATGAAAGTAGCATGCCAAAATACAAAAAGCCAGCATAACAGAATGTGTATTGTGTATTCATCATATTGGCCTTCATTTTCCTTTTCTTTTTTTTTTTTTTTTCAACAGAAAGTGACTAGCCACAGACTGGAGTGCAGTGGCACAATCTCAGCTTTATTGCCGAAATCTATTGCTAGGCTGGAGTGCAGTGGCATGATCTCGGCTCACTGCAACCTCTACCTCCCAAGTAGCTGGGACTACAGGCATATGCCACCATGCCCAGCTAATTTTTGTATTTTTAGTAGAGACAGGGTTTCACCATGTTAGCTCCAATGGTCTCGATTTCTTGACCTAGTGATCTGCCCACCTCAGCCTCCCAAAGTGCTGGGATTACAGGCATGAGCTGCCACGCCAGGCTGCATTTTTTAATAATAACAAAATTATTTCACAAAATTACAGAAAGTAAATATTAGCAATAATTTTCTTAATTATAGTGTTATTCAAATAAATTTAAATTTTAAGATAAAGAAGATAAACTTTAAATTGTTGAATTATTTCTTTACACATTACTTGCAAGACTTTCCATTTTTAATAGATCTTTATATATTTTTATTTCATTAAATTCTATGGCAATTTGAAGATTCTATTCATAATTTTAAGTTATAAGATGTTTACAATATACTTAAAAGAACACATAAATCATAAAAAGAAAAAAATTGCTTTCATTAAAAACCCATTAACAATTTACCAAAAGGTACGATTTTTACTTTTTATGCATTATATCTTTTTAGTTATCCTGTTTTTCATGAATACTTGTAAAAAGAATTTTACATTGAACATCTGTATCTAATGAAAAATATATTAGGTGTCAGCTTTCAATTCTGTACATTTTATAGCTCTGAAAGGTGAGTTTTTTTTGGCTAAAACAGACTATTACATACTTTATAGTTGAAATGTACTGCCTCAAATGAAGAAAAAATACAAGTCTGAGACTTTTATAAATAACTTCATGTGTAACATATTTTCCTTCCAATGATTAAAAATTATTAAATATATACTTTATGATTACAACCACTGTGTGATTGTAAGAAATCAGTTGTAATCTTTATATGGGGATGATATATTATCTAGTTCTTTATTGCATTAATATTAATAATATCAACAGTATTTTTTTCAAAAAACAATACAATATAAAAGTAGTTGAATTTATCTATGGCAAATTCTTAAGAACGGGCTATGTAGAAATAATTACAATTTCTCAAGTAAAAGTCATACATAGGTAAATATCTCTGTTAAACAGAATCGGATCTTCTGTAATTTAAATTGTGCACCTGGTTTAACACATCAGACTACACGTACTGGAAACAGTGTGATTTTAGCACCAGAAAATCATTTCTTCCCTAACCCTAGCATTTCATTTTGGTTGGTGTTTGCAGGGAAAGAAAGAACAATAAATAGATACAATTAAAGTATGTTAAAGTCCTGACCAGTGCTGGTCCATAAAGCCATTGGTTTGAACATTAATCTAGCGTATCCTAGTCTAGAAGTAATAGTTTTGCTTCCTGAATTTATAATTGTGATATTTAATCTTCACATGATTAATTTAGTCAAGAATGACAACTTGCCAGTAGATCAAAATCAGGAAATTTGATTAAATGTTGTGGCTAGTCGCTTTCTGTTAAAACATTATAGCTCAAAGGTGGGATATAAACATCTGCCTGAAATCTTTTGCCAGGCAACTATAATCAACATGCACACACATACACATCAGTGTATTCCTCCCAGAAATATGTTTGCCATAACTTTTGTAAAGATTTACATATCAGTCTATAAAGTGTTTTAGACTGGGGCCACCTGGAAAAAAATAATCCTTTTAATCTTCTAAGTTGCTGAGAAAGAATGTTTTCTTCCCAATAAATTAGCAGTATTAAATTTCTAAAGAATTCTAATAATAATATTTAACAGTTGAGTTATTATTATATGTCAAGTACTGTTCTAAGCATTTTACATGAATTAATGCATTTAATCTTCTCAAGAAAACTGTGAAGTGGGTGCTACTATATATCCATTTTACAGATGATGAAACAGATGTATAGATTAAGTAACCTGCCTCAGGTCAACTAATTCGCGGGCAGAGGAACTTGGCTCTTTGGCAATTTAGGTTCAGAGTTTATGCTTTTAGCCACTATGCTTGACTACTTAAATATTTGCTGAATACACAAATGACTATTTTCCATGACAATGAATTATCCCTCTTGCAGTTGTCTTTTTCTATGTAGAAACACCACAGAAACCTCTTTAGGAAAAAAAGAGAAAAAAATAAAAGCTTGGGGTTGAAGATTGTGGTGCTGAAAAATGAATCGCAATCCACCTTGTAGGTTGGAGAATGGCTAACAATATCATTCAGGCAAGTTCTGGTACTTGGCATGATTCACTGAAGAAGAAAGTTGGTATATTTTTAATCCCTAAAGATGATCCAGATACTATCAAATTCTATTTTCATCCCCACTGTACCTCTCAATACAAATATATTTTTCTAACTGGAGAATTCAAAGTGGTTCATATGCTGTCTACAGTTTCAAGGTTGTAAGATAGGAAACAGTTCATTATATGCAAAATCCCTAGACCAGCACTTGCTTCACACTAATTTTCAAGTGTCTACCCTGAATTTACATCAAAAAATATAAAGCTGGTTCTGCTGCACAAATCACATACAAAATTAGGATAACTGCTCTGAAAGGTGTCAACTTGTGAACATGAAGGTGATTCTGTAACCTTTTGAACTAACACAAGATACCACCTGTCCTACGGAATTTTTGTTGGCTATACCAAGAATATGAGAACCCTGCAGAATAAGTATCTGGCAAAAGGGCCACAAGAAAAAAGAAAAGCAAGCTGTTCCAAACTCATTAGATAGTAGCTGTATTTG